CTTCTCCCTGTGTTTGGTTAGGGGTGGGTTTCCACCTTAAAATTCCGACCAGACCTTAAGGGCCTGGTATGACTTTTGGGGGAACCCCACGCCTTTTTTTCTTAAATAAGGGTCCATCTTAACATTTCTACCAGACCTAAAGTGCCTGGTATTGTTTGGGAAGGGGACCCCACGCTTAATTTTTCTTCTTTGCTTTAAACATTATTTTATTATTTTTAGTACATTTTTTGTTTATTTTTCTTTTTTTTTACATTTATTTAAATTATTTTAAAACTTTTTTTCTTTTGTCTACATTTTTTTCTATTCTGCTCGCTAGCTCGGCGGCATTCAGCTATTAACTCACTGCCGTTTGGCCCCGATGAGAATAGGGGCGAACGGCAGCAAGTGAACTGCCGGAGCTCCAGCTCAGCCAATACAGATGTTGGATCGTACGCCTTCTGCACTTCAACTCAGCCGAACATGTTGAGCATGTTCGGCCCACCGTAGTAGCCGGAGCCAGCCGATGTACGGCAGATTTCAGCTGATGTACAGCTGAATTCAGTTGAAAAGCATAGCCGAACTGCGTTCGGCTCATTTTAGTTGGGCTAGGTTATTCACTCGGCTGCCTTCGGCAGCTTTGTGAATAACCCCCTTAGTGACTCAATGACTAAGTAATATTGTTTGAAATGAGTCTGAGTTTCTTTTAGTTCAAAATAAATCTACATCAAGCAGCAGGAGGAGATGTAGTGTATCATCCAAAACTTTTCCTTTTTAGGTATTTAGTTTTTTTTCCCATTTTGTTGGTATTGTTGCAAGCAAAAATACAGTTTTGTTTATTTCCCTTGCATGTGATTGGGTATTCTTTGCAAAGTGAATTATCATTACATTTACTAAGCTAAGGGAAAATTATCCTGCAATGTGAACTGCCTATTTGCCTTTATTAAATCAACCCCATTGGGTCCAATGAGTTATACCTTCTAGAATTACTTGTTGAACTTTATTGTGTTAATCATAAATGCTTCCTAGAGAACTGTTATGTTAAAACATTTCCTGATTTGCTTTTGCAATATGGTTTTGAGAAACTATTTAATTCCTGTGCTGCACCAATGTCTCAATACACAAATAAGCTAATGGGTACATTTTTATTGTTTGCTTATGTTTTGTTAGTACATTTACACTAGAAACAATGAAGGATATTGATCAAGAAAATTAGTGTCAACATTAGATACACATATATTGCAGATCAAGCTGCCTCTCGTTTTCTAAAGTATATGCACCATTGTTTTGTTAATTTACAAGCCCTGAAACTATAATCCTGGGGATCCAACCGAGACAGCTTTGCAAATGTTTTTGATACATTTCCACCGGTCCGAAAGTGTTTCCCCGAAAGTAAGACCTACCCCAAAAATAAGACCTAGTGTCTTTTTTCGTGAAAAAAATAAATAAGACACTGTCTTATTTTCAGGGAAACACGGTAGCTCTAGATGCAACAAAAATTCACTCAGCTCACACGCACACACAATTAGGAAGTGGTCAGGAGACACTTTTATTCTGTGCCAGTGCTGTTTTAGGCCCCGTTCACACCAAGGCAGCGTCGTTTTTGCTCCGGTGTACGCGCAGGTTCAGCTAACTTCTTTTTGCACGTTTATGCGCATTTGGCACATTTTTACATGTGTAAACATGCCCACATGGAGATGCGCATTTTGACTGGCAGCTTACATCATATTCGGTCAATGCACGAATGCATACAAGTGCATACAAATGCGCAAAAACACGCATGAAAATGTGCAACATGCTATTGACGCACCTTTCCTGGTGTTTCCATCGAAGTATATGGGGGAAAAATTAGTTCCAAACTGCCAAAAGAAGCTTATGTACTTTTTTCTGCGTTTGGCGTTTTGCTGTTCAGGTGTGAACAGGGGCCATTGATAATCATGCGATTTCTTGTGTTGGGTGTTTTTGCAGTGCTTTTTTTTTACTGCTCAAAAATGCCTAGGTGTGAACTTAGACCACTGGAGTCATGAATTTATAAATCAAGCTGCATTCTTGCTGTAAATGTGTTAATGCATCACTATTCACACTATATATTTTGTGTTTGTTACAGAGTTTTATGTCAGTGCATTGTGCATGTGTTTGAATGTGGAAAAGCAGAAAGATATAATATTACTAAAATGTTGTATGGTATGATCCTGTCTAATGAATGGTTACTCAATAAACGTAAAAATGGTAGCCAGTTTGCTACCATGTGCTTCAAAACACATATGAAATAGGGCTCCCTCAGAACAATTTCTGGTTTTTGAAGTGTTCACCATTGTCTGAACACCTTGCAGTAATATGCTTTAAAACACCTACCTTGTTTTGAAGTAGATGCTTTAATTATAGTCAGATGATTGTAAAGCTCATTGCTGCACAGAGTAGTTCAGGAGATGAATGCACTGGTATTCTAGGTAGTAGTGTCCTGTACTGTCATATGCACGTGGAAGGAAGGACAGGACTAAATACACCAATCAATCATAGCAATATGACTAATGGCAGGTGAAGTGAATAACATTGATTATCTTGTTACAAGGGCACCTGGAAGTGGCATATATTAGGCAGCAAGTGAACATTTTGTTCCTGGAGTGGAAACAGAAAAAATGGGCAAGTGTGAGGATTTAAGCGACTTTGATAAGGGCCAAATTGTGAAGGCTAAATGAATAGGTCAGAGCAACCCCAAAACTGCAGCTTCTGTGGGATGTTTCCAATTTGCAGTGGCCAGGATCCAGGGGCGTCCCCAGGGGCGTCCCCAAGGGCGTCCCCAGGAGCGTCCCCAGGAGCGGGGATCGGGTGACACCCCACCATTACGTCATCTCGCGTGCGCGTGACATCACCAGACACGTACGTGATGACATCAGTGCGCATGTGCAGCTATCTAATTGATGCCTGCTGGCGGCCATCATGATGATGATGGATGCCGGCAGGGAGAGGAGGGGACGTTCACCCAGGGGGATGAGGTATGCCGCCGGGTCCCCTCCTCTCTCCTGACACTGTCGGGCTCTCGGTCCATGACCGAGTGCGTGACTTTTTTAGAGGGGGTGACACCAAAATGACTTAGGTCATTTTGGTGTCACCCCTCCAATGGTTTCACCCGGTTGCGGGCCGCATCCCCCTTGTGATGCCACTGCCAGAACCTACCAAAAGTGATCCAAGGAAGGAATACTCGTAAACCAGCAACAGGGTCATAGGTGGCCAAGGCTCATTGATGCATGTGGGGAGTGAAGGCTGGCCTGTGTAGTCCGATCCAGCTCCGATCCAGCGATTGTAGCTCAAATTGCTGAAAAAGTTAATGCTGGTTCCGATAGAAAGGTGTCTGAATCCAAAGTAAATTGCAGTTTGTTGCGTATGGGGCTGCTGTAACTGAAGGCAGATCAGCGTGCCCATGCTGACCCATGTCCACATCAGAACTGGACCACAGAGCAATGGCGGCCTGATTTGATGAACACTTTCTTTTACATCATTTGGATGGCTGGGTGTATGTGTGTCACTTACCTGGGGAAGAGATGGCACCAGGATGTGCTATGGGAAGAAGGCAAGCCAGTGGAGGCAGTGTGATGCTTTGGGCAATGTTCTGCTGGGAAATCTTGGGTCCTACAATTGATGTGTATCTTACTTTGACATGTTCCACCTACCTAAACATTGTTGCTGACCAAGTACACCCCTCCATGGAAACAGTATTCCCTGATGGCAGTGGCCTTTTTCAGCAGGACAATGCACCCTGCCACACTGCAGAACTTGTTCCAGAACGGTTTGAGGAACAGAACAATGGGTTTGAGGTGTTGACTTGGTCTCCAAATTCTCCAGATCTTAATCCAATCAAGCATCTGTGGAATGTTCTAGAAAAACAAGACCGATCCATGGACACCCCCGTCACAACTTACAGGACTTAAAGTATCTGCTGCTGACTGCTTAGTGCCAGATACCACAGCATATCCTCAGAGGTCTAGTGGAGTCCATGCCTCAACAGATCAGGGCTGTTTTGGTGGCATAAAGGGGACCTACTCTATATTAGGCGGGTGGTCATAACGTTATAGCTGATCGGAGTATGCTATAATGTAAAAAAGTGAGACAAATAAGAAGCCCTAGATTGAGAAGGACTGAAGGAACAGGGTTACCGAGCAGCAAACAATTCAATTTTTTTTTTCTTCAAATACACTTGCTCCTTTGCTTTGTCATTTGATTGAAAGTCTGCATTCTTTGTTAATGATTTTGTATATTTATATTGTTAATGCTAGCTTCACCGTTATCATTATAAAGCAGTATAACACATCTAACTAGTTTTATCTACTGTGAAAGCTCTGGTGCATTTGGGCATCCCATTCTGGGTTACCAAACTGCATTCTACTTAATCAGTAAGCAAACAAATTGCATTTCAAACTGGTTATCATATGCTTGTGGAATAGGTGCTTAGTGCCTGTCCAGATATGGCGGGGTGCTGACAAATATTAGCTTTGTATGAGAATATAGATTTCTAGAGTGTTCTATTTTATTTGCTTTGATCTAGGAATGTTCCTCTCAAGGATGCAAGTACTGTTTTGTCCTCCCAAACTATTTCTCTACAATACAAATTCATTAGATTTTCAAAAAAAATTGCTCAGACTAAACATATTCAGTTGTTGGAATGAAAACTATCATTGGAAACTATAGCAGTTTCTGGGATCACAACTTGCTAAGAAATTATAACCCTGTTTGGGGTTCTTTACTATTATTTTCAAGGTGGTGGATTGATTGTTATCTGGAATTTATGTATTGTACCTTCTTTACCTGTGTTTGATATACAGAGCATACTGTATGTTTGAATAAGGCATGTATTGATTTGAGTTTGCATAAAGGTAGAATGATTGAATTATGTTTTATCCTTGTGCAGAGCAGTACACTGGTAACCATGGACAAAAAATTAGTAATGTAATAGAACTATTGTTGAGCAATATTCATAATGCAGAACCAATTCCTCAGGTAAATTTTCTTTGTAGAGACTCATGGACATTTAAAAAATTGCCAACAGGTAATGTTAATTAAAGACTTTCCTCTTAGACACTGTTGTTATACATACACTGGATCACAGTCACTAAGTGATGATAAATGTTGTATATGTTTCCATGTTCATCTTCCATACGTCTTCCTCATGTGTGAACATTCCATCTGTTAATGCTGTTAACACTCAACAGGGTAGCAAGTGTGCAGAGTGAACCTGGTCACCAGAACCTTCTCCTTCAGCCACCATTGGGGAGAAAGAAAGGACTGAGGCAGGTAAGAACAACATGTCGAGGATGACCAGCTACTTGGTGTCAACCTCAAAAGGGACAATCTTTATCAAGATGTTTGGCTTTTCCTATATATCAAACCTGCACGTAAGGTATTGGTATAGTGCTCATTGTTTAAAGTAACAATTGAAATGACCTGATTATATCTTTGTTTGTTGCAAAGTCCATGTTTACTTGTATGTCAGCATTGAGACACATTATGTCATTAACCCCACCATTCGTTCTTGCAGTTCTACATCTCATGAACTAGACTTGCTGATGGACTGTTTATTCACTGGTGGCTTCACCAATAAATGTGGAAGCTAAAGTCTACTGTAAAACCTTCAATGCTTTGCTTACTTTTTGATTTTTGCTCATGCATTGTACGCACTCTGCTGTATGTGATGATGTGTAATGCAGAACACATCCATCTAGCTGTTATCAAATGCATTTTTGGTAATGAAACCAAACAGAATTGGTTGATTGCTATGAGTGACATCATCATTTACACTGCATCAATTATAATAATAATAAAAAAGCTGCTTACAAACAATACAGCATTAGGAAATTGCCAAGTGGTTCTCATTAGATGCTGTTAAATGCGGTTTATTGAGTTCCTCTGAAAGCATAGTGCAAAAATGTACAATACCTCATAGCAAGCAATCAGCTTTGAGTAGCCAAACTATAGAAATCTAACGAAAAATACTCTCTAACTGCTTACTAACCTGTGATATGTTGCTTTGCACTGGAGCATGTCTCTACTGTTTACATTATTATATAAAGCCACTTAAAACATATAAATACTCTACATACATAAAGGTATATTTATATGCAAAAAAACATATATTGAAGCACCTTGTTTATATCTCAGAAAAATAAAAAGATAATATTGTTTCATTATTATAATTCTGAAACCACCACCATGTCTATCCCTTTTTGTGCCCCTACATGCAGTATGTATTTCTCAGTGTTGACGATTAGGGAATAATTTCTATAAATATATTTATATATTATTAATAACAATCACATATAAAAACATGTCATTTAAAAATGGCCTCTTCTGTGTTCAACGATATATGTTGCAGAACTTGTGAGAGAAGGTTAACTTTTGTTGATGTTGACATACTTCATATACTGTTGTGATGCATTAAATTGATTATCCAACCACTTATATGAATCTTCCTTGCATGAGCCTTCAAAACTCATGTACATGACTTTGATCAGATGCCAATGGACGGAGTAGAGTAAACATATGGTTGGACAGCACAGAACATTAATGTCTAACATTTCCATCTCTCTATATTCTATACGTGAAGGTATCTTTAGATATATAAGTGTATGTTAAAATAAACATTGTTTAAAAAGAGTGAATGCATGAATATATATGATTACTGTATGATCTTATAATTACTTTTATAGGTTTATCTGTGGTGAGCACCAGATGTAACTACAGACTAGGTTTAACATTCAGAGATTTGAATTCAATTTTACAATACCGCATTGCAGTTTTACTCAGTATAAGGTCAGGAATCAGGAGAAAAAATATTCAAAGAAATATACAGCATGCAAACTCAAGTTGGTTATTAAACTGCAAAGGTTCTTTTCCCTTCAAATGTAAAAAAAAAAAAAAAAAGATTAATGTGCACAGCTCCCAGCGATCATTATATGACAGGTGCTACGTTTTATGCTTTCAAAATAGAAATTTTGCTGACATATTGATGTGGTTTTCCAAGCAAGAGCAACTCTGCTTTATTGACAGAACATTTCTAAAACAGAGCCAGCTTTTGATTATAATTATAATCTTACTGCATCAGATTCTGAATCTTACAGGGTTATCACTAAGCTGCCGAAGGCAGCCGAGTGAATAACCGAGCCAAAGTGAACAGAGCCGAAAGACGTTCGGCTTTTCACTCCGGCTCAGTACGGCTGATTTCAGGCTTACATCAGCTGAAATCAGCCGTACATCGGCTGCCTTCGGTCAGCCGAACATGCTCTGCATGTCCGTCTGAGCCAAAGTGCAGAGGGACTGCACTTTGAGCTACCGGAGCCGAAGCTCCGGTAGCTCACTCGCTGTCGTTCACCCCTATTTTCATAGGGGCTGAACGGCAGTATGTGAATAGCCGAATGCCACCGAGCGGCATTTGGCCCGGCTTTTCTGCTCAGTACCTCCATGGTACTGAGCAGAATAGCAAATAAGTGAGAAGAGTTTTAAAAAAAGAGTTAAAAATTTATTTTTAAATGTAAATAAATTGGAAAATGAAAAACAATTAAGATATTTTAAAGAAGAAAAACAAATAATAATAATAACAAAAAAAAACAACTATTGGTTGGAGCAACTAGTGACAGCTAGCTCTGCCCAACTGTTTCCCATTGGCAGACACCTGCTAGAGTCTACTAGTCTTCTAGCAGGTCCCAGGCCAATGAATAACCAGGTCTTTTGGGGACCCTTTGTCATTACAACTGGGCGAAGCCAGCCATGAGATCACGGCTGGCTCCACCCAGCTTTCATTTACAGGACGAACGACCGTTCTTCAGCAGGCCGTTCGCCCCGCTTCAGCTGTCACTTTGGCTCAGTTGAGCCGAAGCACATACCTGCGGCTCGGCCAAGCCGCTCGGCTGCTTTCAGCTGCTATACAGGCTATAGTGAATAGCCGAATAGCAACCCTTCAATTTGACTGAACCAAAGGGCTCCGGCGGCCGAAGGATCAGCCGAAGCTACGGCTGGATCCTTCAGCTCCTTCATGAATAACCCCCTTAGTGCTATGATTTTGCTGGAGGTTCATCAGTATAGCCCAAATCACATTTGAAACTACTAGTTTATTAGGATAAAATATCAGCTATTATAACTTTTGTATTAATAATAATGCCATCAATATGCACTTTACTGGTCAGACCCGTAAATCACTGGCTAAGTGTAATCTGCAGAAAAGTTGTTGCTATAAAGTGGGCCAATATGTGATGTTAAAATGAAGCTATGATAACTGTCTTGATGGGATGGATAATTAAATGGTACCTAAAGGTCTGAAATACTTTTTTTCTCCTGAAGAAAATGCTGATCCCGGTCCCCTCCAGTGCCCTAAAGCGAAGGCATTTTGGTAATGTGACCTTTGCTGAAGTGGGGGATTAGAGCAAAGAGTAGTGGATACCCTTATTGAGCAGAGTAGTATCATAAGTCACCTGCACTCTTTATGGCATTATAACCTTGAGGTGATGGCAGTGCTCGTAGTGAGGACATGGATGGCGCTGTGCAGAACTCCAAGGAATCACAGTAATCACCAACACACAAAGTATAATATTATAACACGTCTAAGAAGAATTGAAATTGCATCCTGTGTGTGCTGGTGATTACTGTGAAGTCTTATTGAGCAGAGATCACATGACCAAAGACCTAGGCTTTTGATAATGTGATCTCCACAGGAGGGAACCTGGAGCAACATATTTTCCAGGAAAGTATTTCAGACCATCGGTTTCTCTTTTTTTATTCATTTCAACAAGACTTAATAATAAAACTTTAAGTTATCATTTAAATTCTTTATACATACCTCTTTTTTACTATGGTCAAGTGATGTCATTGGACCTCTTCTTCCTCTGGCAATACGTGACTCATGAATGCTACAGAGAACAATGCCAGGCAATGAAGTGGTGCTATGGCCAGCAGCATTCTCCTGTGAGACCAGGGCAGCTTGATGATGTCCCCAGTGGTCATGTCCTTGATGCCCTAGGCTCACAAAAAGTAGTGGCACTGGGCATCATTAATTGCAGATCGGTGAGTCGGTGGGCTATAGCGCATGAGGGGAGGTGATCTTTACAACCAAAGCTAAGCAATTATAATTTAAAATGAAAATTGAAAAAAAAATGCCTGGAATTGGGCTTTACCCTTTGATGAACAAGTGCATACCCAAATTTTTAATAGTCTGCTACCAGGCATAGTAAACATTCCATTTTGCTGTAGAAATATATAATTTTTATTTTGTCATGTATTTATTGGCTAAACATTTCTAAAGATATCTTCACATTTTGCATATTTGACAGAGCACATGCTACATATATGAAATAATTGCATCATTCATAAATAAACTATATTCATGCATAGCCTAGTAGAGTGACCACCATGGAAAGCTGCATCCTGTAGAATTAAGTAACGATATGTTACAGTTTCTGACTTTCTTCAAAAGTGTAGTCTTTTTGCTTGGCTCATTCTGTGATATATCTTAAATAGCTGTATAGATGTCGGAAATATTTTGGGGCAGATGGCTTTTTAGTCCCTTTGGCTACAATTCTACATTTATGAATGATACATTATATTTCAGCAAAATGGCATTATAGAAACCATATTACCAAAATGCTGCCTTAGAACTAAGTTCCTTGCATGCTTTGTAAAATATTAGCCTGATATTCTGAGACTGTTAAGGTTTGATATGGAATATTTCTGATGAAATACCTGCATCCTTCCTCAATGCACTGGAGTTGATAGGTCTGAATTCAAAATGATAAGTCCCACTTCTTTCAGTGACTATAGATAACCGCTCAGTTACTTGCGGTTCTCCTTTTAGGATTGTGTCAGTTTTGCTAATGATTGTTTATAGGGATGTTCAGAAACCAAGTACCATACTTGGTACAATTACAGATACTCTTCCAGCTCCAAAACTAGACTAGAGAAAAACTCAAAAGTTAGGAGGCAGCTGTCATTTGTAAGGAGCATACAGAGCTCCTGGGATTTGTACATCTCTGTTTTATTGTATGATTTGTTATATTTATATTTATATTAGGGATGCACCGATACCATTTTTTCCAGACCAAGTACTGACATACAATTACTGATGCATTTTTGTTTATTGTCATGTGACAGTTTTTCTAAAACAATAAAGACTAATGATTTCAGTACAGTGGTGGAGCGCCAGGGCCCAGTCACAGCTGCAACAGCTGCAACACTGGTAGTTCTCGTGAAAATGCCAAGTATCGGCACTGGTATCTGAATTGGTATCTGAACAGCCCTAATTATTTATATAATTACTTAAACATGTAGAGCAGTATGTCACCTTCTTGCTACCTACAGTGAGGTGAACCACAGGCCTGTTATCTCTACAAATGTGTGTTATTGACAGAAGCATGCTTGTAAGTATAGGCAACATTTACCATTATGAACTGCACATCTGAGTCTATAACTTATTCTTGATACTTTGTAGGCAACCATGTAGACAATAAGCTTGAGGTTAACTGAACCAGCCATACCTTGTTGGCACTATTAACTTTGATTCTTCCTGAGTGTTAATATCTCCCCTGTATTGTGGTGTAACAGGGGGCTTTCTCTCCTTCTCACCTGGTTCAGCTACGAAGGCCTTTACTTTCACGTCAGAAAACGCAAACTGAACCAAGAAGTCGCCATGGGGCTAGGCTCTCAACAACTCGCAGGAGCATACAACCCCGAGCCAAGCAGATAAGGGAAGAAGATCAAAAAGCAGGTTAGGATAAGTTTTTCTGATCACTTTCACAGTAAAATTATACCAGTACTAAATCATGTGTCCCTAAAAACATTATCACACTGAAACATGTATAAGAGAGACAAGGACTGGAATTAAAGTGAGATATATGTAACACAAAGTAAACCTGCTAGCCAAAATTCATATTACAATTAAAGAGGTAATTTTATCATTCATAGTTGATACCTTTCTGTCAGTCCAGTCATGACTGTCTTGTTCTTCTTTGTAAAATGCTGCCTAAGGACCCATACACACAGACTTTTTATCTCTAAATTTACTAGCCAGGTCATCGCATGACACAGCATCCAAACTGGCAAGTTCAATTCATCCTTCCCATTGTGTATGATACCATTACTTGAAACCACATGACATTGTTAAAAGTAATTGTACATACAGAATACCTGTGATAGGGGTCTAAACAGCCCCCTCATATTTATTATTATTATTATTATACAAGATATATATAGCACCAACAGTTTGCGCAAAGCCTTACAATATAAGGAAGACATTACAATCACAATACAATTCAAGACAAAATGGAAGGATGTGTTTATTTACTTCTTATTTATTTTTTATTACTTAATTATTATTTATTTTTTATGTATTTATTTATTATTTTTGTTATTTATTTTTTTACTGTTGGGGGCTTCAGGGAAATATTAGGGGTCTAAACAGCCCCCTGATATTTATTATTATTATTATTATACAAGATATATGTAGCACCAACAGTTTGCGCAAAGCCTTACAATATAAGGAAGACATTACAATCACAATACAATTCAAGACAAAATGGTAAGGAGGGCACTGCCCATGAGGGCTTACAATCTAAATGGGAGGGGCAGGTGATACATGAGGAGGTAACTGTGTGGGGATGAATTATATGAGAATGTGATGGCTGTGTGGTTAGTTTGAGGTGGGATAGGAGGAGTTGACGAGGGAGCTGGACAGCAGGAGGTCTTTGGAAGAGTGGAGGGGACGGTTAGGGTGATACTTTGAGACAAGGTTTGAGATATATCCGGGGGCAGAGTTGTGTATGGCTTTCTAAGTGGTTGTTAATATTTTGCATTTTATCCTTTGGGTGAGTGGAAGCCAGGGCAGGGATTGGCAGAGGGGGGAGGGTGATAGAAGCCAGTGCAGGGATTGACAGAGGGGGGTTGCAGACACTGAGCGGTTGGTTAGGTGAATTAATCTAGCAGCAACATTCATTATAGACTGAAGGTGGGATAGTCTGTGTAGTGGTAGGCCAATGAGGAGTGAGCTGCAATAGTCAAGACGAGAGATAACAAGTGAGTGGATGAGCAGCTTTGTGGTTTCATTGGTGAGGAAGGGGCAAATTTTGGAGATGTTACGAGGGCGGCAGGATTTGTATCTGGGGAAGAAAGGTGAGGTCCCTTTTAAAATAGAAAAAGAAATTGAGGACAAAGCCGGCTTCAGCGCTTCACTTCTCCCAGTACAGGAGGGGGAAGAGCAGCGGGGATCCAAAGGAGAAGCTGCAGGCTGTCCCGCCCCACTTCTCCCTGCCGCGCTGAGCCCTGGCTACGCCCCCCACACATGCGCCCGAGGCGAGTGCCTCAGTCGCCTCGCCCTAGGAACAGTCCTGCGGTGAACACCAGTGCTGAGCTTGTAGAAACTGAGGAACTGGTTTTCCATAAAAACCATTACAATTATTCTTCCAACATAGCTGTTACATCACAAGTTTACTTTACTATATAAATATATAGTGTTAAAAATTCCCCACTATATGTTATTGTGCTCACAACAACATACAACATCCAGTGCTCAGAAACAAATCATGCATCCAAATCCGTGCATACAATATCCAATAAAGAGAACGTAATAGTCCAAGTGATAAAATACTTAAGATATCGCTCCCTTTTGTGTACATTGCAGCAATATGACATCCAGATCGCTTCCAGTTTATTTACATTAATCCCAGTGTCAATTGTGCTTCTAAATCAATACTGTCAGTTTCTCTGTTCTTAAAAAACACACAGTGCTCCTGCAGTGTCTACCACCGATCCCCGTGGTCACCACTCTCCGGTTGGGTATAAGCTCACCTTAGCCTTAGACCCACTAATCAGGTCTCACCACGCTAGTCCCTTTCATTGAGGCTGGGACTCTCACGTGTGGCTGGGACTCCCAGCCTGTCACTTCTCGTTCCTCCGGTGTTATAAGCAGCCACTCCTCCGAGAAGGAAGAAAGCACAGACCATAGTGCATACCATAAAGGACTGTGGAATCTTTACAATTTAAACTCACAATTTAAAAGCTTGAACAGTAGCCAATACAGTACACTGAACAGAGCCCGGCTCGCACACTCCTGCTCCGCTGCACTGTTCACATGTCCACAGCCTCATCTCTTCCAATGTTAGAAAGCTCCGCCCTACGTACGCTACGTTTCACGTGACTTCATCAGGGTCTGGGTCCACATTTAAAGCAGGTTTAATTGTGAATCCAACAGATCAAACTCAGCTTTTATTTAAAGAGTTTCCATACTTCCACTGTCTTTAAGTCTATCATATATAGTCAGATGTCTCTAGTTGGAAGGTAAGTCACTGAAAAAATTGGTCTAGTTATGGAAAAGACATTACATCAAAAATTACAGGTCAGAGGTTATCCATGTCTTTTGTTGGGATAGGAATGAAGAGAAAGATGGACAAGAAAACCTAATAACAATATAAAAAGGATACCCTTTGTTTGTCAGTACCTTGCATTCTAATAAAGAGTTCTATTCCATTTTACACTGTAAGTGGCATTTTTTGAAGATTCCTGAATTTAAGCTACTGCCCATTCAAGCATTCCAGAGAAACCAGACTCTTAGGGTTATGCTAGGGGCGGATCTCCCTCCATTGGTGGTACAGTAAACAACATTAAGTGGCACTTTGAGACTGGGCTTTTATCCTTGTCTTACATGTTCCGAATGTATTCGAGGTAAAAAGGGCCATCCTTTGGGAACATTGAGAATACTAAAGAATTCACCATTTCCAAATACTTGACTTATCAATCTACTTATTTATGGTATATACTTAATTGAATGCCAGTGTAGCCTTAAGTATATTAGAGAAAACACACAAAAGGAATGTGATAGATATGCACAGCATTGATGTTCAATTAGATCAAATCAAAATGAACTTCCTATCTCTAGACAGGTGGAGGCAGGGCTTGCCCATACACAATTAAAATTTCAGGTGAACGATCATGTCCCCCAACTCTTTCAGGGTGTGGACAGGATCTTGTTACTACGGTAAAAAGTGAGGTATTCTGGATACACAGTGAGGTCTGGCTGGCAATTTGTATATGGTGTATATATCACCTAGGTTTTTCACCGACACATGGTGAAGGGGCTGTAGAGTTGTTTGTGACTGACCTGGAAAAAACACATTAGTCTATAAGTTTTGTTCTGGGTCCTGGAGTCTGGAGGCTTTGTAGAGCTTTTGGGTCCACATCTTACCTGGTAGCCAGACCTCATTAATTAGTGCCAGCTGTTCACAGGTTTTTTTTATATGAGAGCTGACTAATGCTCAGGGGGCTCTCTCTCTCTCTCTCTCTCTCTCTCATCTCTCTCTCTCTCTTTCTCTCTCTCTCTCTCTTTCTCTCTCTCTCTCCTGTGAGAGCCTGTTGCTGGCTGAAAAGCCTGACTGCTGACAACACACTAAAAATATAAAAGAGCAACATGTTTGTTTTTGAGAACATATTGGGGGCACCCTGTTAGGGACTTACATGGCTTTAGTTAGTGACTTGGAAGAGCAGATGTTGCATTTGATGTATGCTTTGGACTTGTACTACAAAGTCCTCCTGCATCGAAACTGTGTTTGTTTGCTGCGTTGCTTAATAATAGTGCATGAGTCTTCTGTCTCATGCATGGTTTATTCTCATTTCTATCCTTCTGGCATATTTCAGAGCTCCCTAGTTTTAGGCAGTGGTAGATTTTATTTTTAGTCCGGGGATGCAACTTGTACAGTGCCAATCTTATAAACACTGGTATATACTTAATTGAATGCCAGTGTAGCCTTAAGTATATTAGAGAAAACACACAAAAGGAATGTGATAGATATACACTGGTCTTTGGGGCTTTCTACATTCTTTTTTCCCCACAAAAAATACATAACTATGAAATATCCATTAACGTTTATCTTTAAAAACCTGCTAATGCTTTTACACACACCATATCCAATAGATGTGTTAGTACTCCTTGATGTTTGGGCATGAGGGGTCATCTGAAGCCTGCTCCTGGGCACCTACTTTCAATTTACTTATTTTTCTCTATTCAAGCATCCTGTCATATAACAGCCAAAAAGAAAAAAAAGATATAGTCATTTGTACATCTCTGTGTTCTCACATATCACTTTAAATCTTTTATTTTCTTTACAGCAGATCAGAAGAGATCTGTAACCTTTACTGAGACACAGCCTCAGCCCTCCACATCTCATGCTGAGGTGCCGCCGATTGCTCCACGCTCCGGCTGCAGCCCTGCATCCTCCATCAAACAGGCATCTGCAGAGAGCCCTGTACTCACCTCGTCACCATCCATTACTGTAGCTGACCTTCACAGCCAGACTGACAGCCAGGTAACACCACAAAAAGGTTAGAGCATGTGTATCTCACTTCCCTTTAATGGTCAATTAGGGTTATTTATGTGAAGCAAAATGGTAGGGGCAGTTTTAAATGTACGGTATTTCCAAGTGAATATCTGATCTGCGTTGTGCACAGTTGGTGCGCAACCTCTCCTTTGCAATGTATGGGTGAAATACAGTATGTGTGTGACATTTGTCAAAGAGTACCTAGAAATTGTCACGTGTTACACATGGGATTTAAAGCTGCAGTAAACTGTCACTATGCTTCACCTTAAACAATATAAAAAGCCCTTATGCAGAGTTATACAATGTGTTTCCACTGAAAAGCTGAACTCTAAATAAACATATATGGGTTTATATTGCCTGCCAAAGGATTTGAATTTCTGCCCATCCAGTCCTAAGATTTTAAGATTTACAAGTCCTGCCAGGCAAAAGAGCCAAGCTGGTGACCTGGCTTTTTTCCAAATGCAGGTAAGCAATACAGCTAGGTCACCTCTCTCCCCCGCCCCCCCTTCCCTGCCCCACCCTTCTCTTCCCCCAGCCCAAGACTGGTCACTGAAGGAAAAGCAGAACACTGATGAGCTCATCAGCCCTCTGCTTATAGTCTCCCTCATTCTTTAAGCATTCTTCTTGGCAGAACGTGTGCATTCAACACACCTGACTGGCCCCTATCCCCTAGTCTAGCCTACTCTACAAAGGATTACACAAGGCAAATACAAAGTCAGATTTCGATACTTACATCAGCTTTATTTAAAAATATGTGACTCATTTTAAATATACAAATAACTAAATGAATTTTTTGTCTGCCTGTAGCTTTTAACATTTTATTGTGTAGCAACATCCCCAAATGGGTGTAGTGAATGTTTGATTTTTCTGATATTGTCATGTGACAAGTAAAATGTGCATTTTCAGCCTGGCCGCTTTGTAAGCAATGTTATATTTAAACACCTTTGTCTGCTAAATGAATGTAATGAATTATCCATTTAAATAGTTACATAGTATTTGAGGTTGAAAAAAGACACAGGTCCATCAAGTTCAACCTTTGTGTGTGTGCCTGTCTCTTGTGCGTGCATGTGTGTCTTGTGCATGCATGTGTGTATAAGAGTCCACTTGTGGTCTAGTATTTAAGTGTACCTATACCCCTGTATGTTACGGTCTCTTATGATGGAATCTAATTGATTTTTGAACGAATCAATATTTGGGGTGGACTGTTCAATTAAATGACATTCATGATTCTCCACACAGATTTTAGTTTACCCATAAAAATGCCCATGACAGCACCTGTTGAGATTATAAAATCATATCTAAAAAACCATGTGAAATGAAATGTAACTTTTGTATAGGGATTACTAAACAGTTGTAACCAGTTCACTTCCATCAGTGAGCAAAATATAACAGTTTTTGTATTTTAATTCCCTGTGAGACCTACACGTTTGTGTTATTGGTTTTAATGCTTGAGGGAAGTCTGCCAGGTTTTGGGAAACTGCTAACTGCCTTTGGCACAGGAGACTTGGCAATTGGCCTATAGCAAAACTAGTGGCCTTGTAAGAACTGAATGTTTGTATTCACACTGAAGCAACTTTACTTCTAACCACTCCTATATCCACAGCAACTAGGCTTACAAATGTTTACTGTGAAAATATAAGCCAGGAGGGAACAGAAAGAATGTTCCAAAATAGAATACCAGACAAAAATAGTTAGCTGACATTTTTTGACATTCCCAAAAATAAAGTATAATTGCCTCTGCTCACTGACCACAGACAGTAATAATTTAGCCTAGTGGTCCTTGTTGGCATGTAGCTGGTACTGCTGGTCAACATGTATAGTATAGCAGAACTTGAAGTGTATCTCTAGTTTCTTAGTTTTGCAAAACTTCTGCCAGTTTTGGATGGAGTAGGCAAGAATTTATAGTGGGTTTCCCTTTGAAAGCACTGGAGAGATTCCATTCCTTTCCCTGTAACCAGGGGCGTATTTACCGTGAGGCAAACAAGGTGTTTGTCTGGAGTTGCACTTTGCAGGGGGGCAGCATTTTTCACAGAAAATCAGGCAGGCTTGGCTGCCTAATCAGGTGGCTGCTGGTGGGGCCTGGCAGCAAGCTGCCGTGTGAAAGAGGAGGCGTAGCCTGGGGCTGAGGGAGACGCGGCCCGGCCAGCGGATGCTGCAGGCGGCTGGAGGAAGAATCTTCGGCGGCTGGAGGAAGAAGCTTCAGCGGCTCCAGGAGCTGCAGGTAAGAGCTCATCATTTCCCCTTACTTAGCTGTAAAGCTGCAGAACTGTGGTGGATATGTGACCAATGCTGTCCTCCTCATCGTGAAATTGAACAGTGCACACACATATTGGCTGTGATGTGTAATGCTGCTAGTGAACTTCAAATCCTAGAATGCCCCATATGTAAATGTCACTGCTGCACTTTGCATACAAGCTTGCCTAGGGCAGCACGAAACCTAAATACACCACTGCCTGTAACACCCATACAAAAATGAGTGGTGCAGTACTCACTGGGACAGGCAAGCACTGACGGCAGTAAAAATATTGTCAAACGTTCTAACCATTCCCCACTCTACTAAACTTGTGTTTTTGTTTTTGTCTCTGCCCCCTTTGGAGAGATTTCCCAGTAGGGACACATATGGCACCTGGCAGAGGCTCTAACCTACCCCTTACTTGTGATTTACAAACTCTGCACTATAGCGCAAAGTGTAACTAACCTAGTGACTAAAAAAGCTGCTAACACTACAAAATTATGTGAACACAATCTACCAAAGAGTTGAAAAATAAACCAGTGTAGCACCTCTAAATATCTAAAACCATAAATCATGCTGCATAATCATCAAGGAAACCTAAACTTCTTATACACATGCAAGTCCACACATACTGTATATTAAACAAAGAGGTGATCCCTAGTGAATCCTATCACCCTTTTACACATGCCTCTTACTTCAAAGATGGGTCTAATGGTTCTTTTAGGTCTCATTAAGCTTGTTTCCCAGCTTCAGAGGAAAAAACAACCTAGATGGTGTCTATGTTTCCTGTTCTGTCCAGTGGTTAGTATGTACTCTCATAGAATGAAATAAACATAGAATCCATAGTGCTTTCCGTTTAAAACATTACTAATGTAAAAAAAAAAAAAAACACAAAATACTCACAGGTATATCTGATGAACCAGCGCATTCAGTATAGCATATATTCTTAGAGAAGAAATTAATCTGTAGGAAGTGTTCAGCACTCTCGTATTTCTTTTTTTAAGCATGTTTATCTTTATTTGTTTTCGTAAAATACATAACAACGGGTGGGCAAGGGAGTTACAAACAGGATTATACATTTATGTACCCAAGCGGATACGTGAGATAGACAGAATATACATTCTCGTCATTGTAAAGAATACCATGTGGGATCATAACCTTGACAGCCAACTACTAAAAACAGTAAGTGTATCATATAGAGTAGTAAAAACACAATAGTAATATTAGTGTATGCTAAGAAAGTGTCTACGGGTTCAAGAGTAAAGATGTATTAGACTAAGTGAGAGGAAGAGGGAAAGGAAGAAAAGTAATTCACACGAAAGGAATTCAGGCGGGAACGGGTCGTGAAAGGGAGAAATAGAGAGAAATGTCAATATGACGATACATATACAGGTGAAACTCGAATAATTAGAATATCGTGCAAAAGTAATTGCAGTAAGTGCTGCAAAAGGGGCCCAAACCAAGTACTGAGTACATATGCATGCTTGTACTTTTCAGAGGTCCGATATTGTTCTATGTACAATCCTTGTTTTATTGATTGCATGTAATAGTCTAATTTTTTGAGGTTGTGGATTTGGGGTTCTTGGGGTTTTCATGAGCTGTAAGTCATAATCATCACAATTATGACAAATCACGGCTTGAATTATCTTGCTTTGCATGTAATGAGTCTATCTCATATATTAGTTTCACCTTTTAAGTTGCATTAGTGAAATAAATGAACTTTGCACGATATTCTAATTATTCGAGTTTCACCTGTATATATGTTACAATACATCGAGAAATACATTCTCGCATTTCTTACTGTTCCATTCTCCTAAATATCACCTAAACTCTGCCCTACGCCTTACGTCTCATCAACTTCCTCAGGAGTATAAGTCCATTGACCACATCTCCTTTTTATTTACTGAAGAACCATCATTTGCTGTAGACTTAATTGTACTCATGTGTTTAAACAATTCCTTAACCCATGATTATATAAACCACAAATGGCCTATATCAGACTGCTAATCAGAACTCATGAGGTGCAGGAAAAGGTACAAGAGTGCTGAACGCTTCGTACAGATAGATTTTCTCAGCCTGTTCCTTCTCTAAGAATACTGAGTGTGGTGGTTCATTGCGCACATATACAGTATATGTGAGTGTTTTGTGTTTTTGTTCTATGTTTATTTCCCCCCTATATAACAACACCCAGGCCTGGGAATTGGACAGTCAGGATACAAGTGCTGCATTGTGCCAAGGCAAGGGGTGATAGTCACTCACTCTCATACATGAAAGAAATGTGTTTTTCTCTGCCCTTGTCAGCCACATGAGATGCAAGGCAAGCACTTGGAAGCTAAGTAAGTGATTCTTAGGCTCCCTGCACTGAGAGGTCAAAGTGCAGGTTTGCTTTAAGCTATCTATAAACATGAGATGATAGTCACTCAGTGGGCATAAGGTTTTGGTTTGGAGCCAACTTGGATTTGAGGTTGATCTCACGGTTCAGTAAAAACTCCAGATTTTTGGCCAAAAATTTGTGCCTGAATCCATATTGCACTGCATTACCCTTGTTATAGATGTGTCCCTGAGAGCCAGGAAACTGAAAGAATAGACAAGACAGCCCTTTTACTATAAAATGGCTCCCAGCAGCCATATTGTCAGTCTGTGTTGGACCTGGTTAGGAAAAGCTGACAAATCTGTGTAGGGAGAGATAGTTTGCTATACAGTGCTATACTGTGCTATACCGTGCTATACAGTGCCAGGGGCATAGATAAGGGGG